ATGGGTGAGGTCATGTGATCTTTGATCTTTGGAATACTTTGCAAGGGTGATACGAACTTGATCTAGTTTAAGATTTCATTAGTGTACAGGTAAAAGGTTTATGATCATCGGAGCTACTCACAAAACAACTAATATACTTGACTTAAGCAGGTGTACCTAAAGTGTCAGTACCACAACCCTCAAGGCACAGCAGAAGTGTGCACTTGTACCAACTCCCAAGGCACAGCAGAAGTGTGCACTTGTACCAACTCCCAAGGCACAGTAGAAGTGTGCACTTGTACCAACTCCCAAGGCACAGCAGAAGTGTGCACTTGTACCAACTCCCAAGCACAGCAGAAGTGTGCACTTGTACCCACTCCCAACGCACAGTAGAAGTGTGCACTTGTACCAACTCCCAAGGCACAGCAGAAGTGTGCACTTGTACCAACTCGCAAAGCACAGCAGAAGTGTGCACTTGTACCAACTCCCAAGGCACAGCAGAAGTGTGCACTTGTACCAACTCGCAAAGCACAGCAGAAGTGTGCGATTGTACCAATCCCGAGACACATCAGTGTGTGCTTGCTTGCTAATGCCAAACTAGCCCCCACGCACATTAGTGTGCGCTTGCTTGCGATTGCCACGACCAGCTGAACTGTGCCCATACACCACCACAAATCACAAACAACCTCACCCAACTGGACTAAATGGCGGACATAGAAAACAATGAGTGGCCACAAGAAATCGAACTAGATATGGAAAAAGATGGACAACCACTGTTAGCTGGCCCCATGATGGAAGACCAAGATGAACTGGAAAGTGTAACAACTGTCAGTGATAGGCACGACTCACCCCAACCAGGAACTAGCCAAAACCTAGAAACCAGCGACCATTGGAGGAGTGTGCTGCTGGAAGGTCTGGAAAGCTACATTGAAGATTTCATCTCCAAAGAAGGTATAGTCAATTGTGCAGGTACAAGGAAGGGCAATGGCCCTGTCAAGAAGACCCAACAGAGCAAACCTGAAGCAGGTGCATGGCTTCATAGGGAGGAGGATCAACCGGTGAGAGAAAAAAGGAGCCATGGAAGACACCAAGGTGATACAATCACACCTAAGAATGAGACTACTATTGGCAAAAATGAGGTTATACCATCACAGTCTGTATAGAGTAAGTGGAGCAAGGCCTTACACTCCTTCCTATTTCAAGGGAAAGTCGTCATAGCCTTAATGACGTGCCAGACACCCAGATGACTGACCCTGAGAAGATCCTCATCCTCCTGCAGCCTTGTTCTGAAGAAATTGAAGACCACCTATACTCATATAGTACAGTACTGTAGAAAACGGCTATCAACGGGCTCTAAAAACACTGCAGATACGATTTGGTGTAGAAGATGCCCTTCTTCGTGAACAGATTCATGACCTGATGTTGACCCCATCAGTGGGTACTAATGACAGAGCGGGATTTTAATGCCTAGCAGACAGGGTGAATGTATGTATCTTTAACTTAGAGCCCCGCGGTGCACTGTAGCAAGTTGACAATCTGTTGGGTAAAGAATTGCTGGTTGAGAAGTTACCCAGTCACTTGCGCGAGAAATACCAAAGCAAAATGGAGGAGTTTGAAGCTCAAAAAGAAAAGGAACCAGGGTTAGAACATCTCTGGGTTTTCATACAGGTCACTGGTAATGCAAGAGAGGCATACACAGAAACAAGGGGAGCCAGAGATAGATGATATGCTGGCAATAATGCTAGCAGGCGTCCTGTAGGGCTGGCTGTCACAGGCGCAGAGTGCAAGACTTGCTTGCTCTGCTCAGAAGATCATAACTTAAATCATTGCCACAAGTTTCGTACTATGGCAGTATCTTAGAGAACCTGAACTGTACAACGACTGCAGTACTGCTTCCTGTGTCTCAGAAAGGGACACCAGGCCAATGATTGTCCAATGGGATACTCACATTGTGACATTGATGGGTGTTCAGTGTTACACTCCAAATGGTTACACCCTTCTCCCAAGTCCATGCAAAGGGAAAGGTATGGAAATAGACGCCAGAGCCAAGAAATAGATAATAGTAAGTCTCGTGACCATGATGAACGGACTAGGGTCACATGTGACTTACTTAATCAAGAGGAACCACGGCATCAAGAGAGAAAGGTCGGAATCTACACAAGATAATTGACATGAACGACGCGACAAGAGGTTACGAGGTCATGAAGATGGAGGCCGACGTGAGAAACCATACTGGGACTCTGGCGAGTCAATCAAGAGGAAGAAGGCAGGACCCACTCAATGACTAAAGAAGAGCAGGGTGGCTCTTCCACTGTTGGAGGTGGGGGTAAAGGGGTCAAACTCAAGGCACACGACAAGAACAAATGCGCTCTTGGACTCCGGCAGTAATCGGTCCTTCTGTGCGAAGAGTCTACATCAGCGATTGAACATGTATGGAAAACCAGTGTCACTCTTTATTGACACTCTTACCCATGAAGAACAACAACACACATTGGAGATAGACTTGGAAGTCAAAGACACAAGAACGACACTCATTCAGCCTGGTATTGACCACGGTTCTCATCATTGGGAGACTAGTGTCCAGGATGTAATGGAATGGGAACATCTTCAAGAAATCTTACCACTTGAATCTGATGTTTGAGACGTTGAACTACTAATATGGCAGGACTGTCCAAGAGCCTCAATTCCTTTAGAGTGGAGGACAGGACGAGATGGAGCACCATTTGCTGTGAGGACTCAACTCGGATGGACTGTAAAAGGTCCAATGGCCCATGAAAATGTTACTACTCTTGCTGTCACTGGCTCACCACCGACTCTCCCTCCTGATGAGACACGTTTAGAGGCACAAGTAAGGCGCTTTTGGGAATTAAGAGATGACCTTTCAAAAAACTACAATTGAAGCGCCAGTGTTGCTGGAGGACAAAAAAATCGTCCAGCTCTGGTCATCAACAGGTGCGATGATAAAAGGACACTACTAGTTTCCCATTCCATTCCGGCAAAAACCACCTAACCTACCGGACAACAAGTCACTTATTGTCAGGCGTCTGAATGGTTTGAGAAAATGCCTCCTAAGAAATGCAGAGCTGAAACTAAGGTATGTTGCATAAATTGAACATTTGATCACCAAGGGCTTCGTGGAGAAGGTGCCCAAAAGGGAACGAACAGCAAATCCTGGAAGAACTTGGCATCTGTCTCATCATCCAGTACTAAATTCAAATAAACCAGAGAAGACTCGCATTGTTTTCGATTGTGATGCAACATCTGCCAATGTGTCACTACACAACGAGGTACTTCAAGGACCAGGCTTCAACAACAAACTCTTTGGAGTCCTCATAAGATTTCGTCGGGAGCCGATTGCGCTGATGGCAGATATTGAAACCATGTTTCATCAGGTCAAGGTGAACCCTGAACACAGGGACGCCCTAAGATTCCTCTGGTGGGAAAATGGAAACTTGTCGGGACCCCCAACTGCCTACCGAATGACAGTGCATATCTTTGGAGGGGTGTGGAGTCCATCTTGTGCTACTTATGCATTGCAGAGAACTATCCAGGATTATGGTTCAGAATTCCCTGTAATGACCACCAGAGCTAAAGAGAGGTTTCATGTGGACGACTTGCTTGTGTCTGTTACTGATACTGAGGAAGTAATATCCATGGCACACCAGCTTTAAGAACTCTTGCTAAGAGGGGGATTCAAGCATACAAAATGGATAAGTAATCACAAAGGAATAGTCAGCACTATCACCATGGAAAAGCAGCACACCGGTATCAAGGAAGTGGACTTCACCTATGACAATTTGCCCACAGAGAGAGTTCTGGGAGTGATGTGGAATTTGAAAAAGCACCAGTTTGCTGGAAAGGTAAAAGTCCAAATCCGGCCTCTGACAAAAAGGGGGCATCTAAGCATTGTAAGCTCTGTCTATGACCCACTGGGTTTCATCTATCCTTTCACCATCAAGGCAAGGATCATCTTCAAGAACGAATGCAGAGAAAAGAAAATTGGGATGTACCTCTTCTTGACCACAACCTAGTCTTGTGGCAGTGTTGGTTGTCGGACCTGAAACTGCTGCAGGACTTCCAGATTCCACGTCTGAGTCCTCCTAAACAGACTTCTTCCTGAGGCAGAAAACTTCCTCCCAGAATCTAAGTGTAGCTTTAGATCATCACCTGGCACCACCGACATGATCTTTGCTGCCAGTTAGATACAGGAAAAGGGCAGAGAACAGCGTCGTAACCTGTACATGGCTTTCATCGACTTAAGCCAGGCCTAGAACGGAAAGACGTATAAAGGATGCAGTTGGAGACTTGAAAAGGTTTGGGTGAAGCTGCTTTGGTCAATTGAAGTTCAGATTTTAGTTAGAGGTCGGGGGAAGAGGTTAATAGATGGTGCTCCACAGTGACATCAGTTGGGGCCCTAGTAGTTTGAGGATTATCAGGTTGACCCTGGGGTCCACAACTTTCCCGACCAGTGGGACCCATCCGAGAAGGCCCCGTTTTAATATTATTGTCAACTGATTTCATAGGAGAATAAAAGAATAGAACAGATCAAGAGTGAGAAAACTTATATATGTTGTGTTGTCAATAGTAAGAGAAGCAATTGAGACCCTGCAATTGTGTGTGAATGAGGCAGAAAGACAGCTCAGCAACCTGGGACTTGCTCTCAATTTTCGTGATGCCATATAGCAGCAGGGTCTACCATTAGACAACACATTATACTTCCAATATCTTCCCAGGCGGTAGTACCTCCCTGCTTGGTAGCATGATTATAGGTAGTAAGTAGTAGGCAGCTTAGTTGTTAAGTGCAGTAATAACATAACAATGGATTTTCTTTAAACACTTCGCTTTTTTCGGACTTTCGCATTTTCCGGACTGGGGTCTGCCCCAATTAGTCCGATTTATCAAGGTTCTACTGTACTGCACTACCAATCCAATACTTCTCACATCTTACCCCACCCTGGTAGTTAAAAAATTATGTTCATTATATTATTAATGCTAAATACATGAAGCAAAGAGTTATTTACCTGGTACATGAAGTGAGCCAGTTGAAGACAGTAATTCCAATTGCGTACAACATGAGTCAGTTGGGCAGGGTTTGGCTGTCCTGGTGCTCCACTTGCTGCTGCTCCACTAATAGACCCTGACAATCCTACCATAAAAAAAATAATTACAACTTAAAAATCAATACAAAAAATTAACTTTTTTGCCAAGTATAGAGAGAATGGACTTCCATGACAGAAAATATATAAATTAGACCCTTGACATATCAAGAGAATAAGAACTAGAATTACTGTACAATACAGATATCCCTCGTCTAATATTAATTCACTTAACATTAATTTGGTTAAACAATAAGAAAATTTTCACACCCTTTCCCACTTAACATTAGGTCAAAATTCTGTTTAGCAATAGCTTGACTCACTGGGAAGGGGAAAAACCAGGGATGAGGTGGTCTGTGAGATGGCATGTTGCCAATGTTACATGTAATGAGACTATAAAAGTTACGGAAAAAATCATTACAACATGCTAATGTTGCTTAAAAAAATTATAAAATTGTAAAATAAGAAAAATGAAGAGCATGGGTGTGTATGTGTGAGAAGTGAACGTATGTGTGGGGGCAGTGGGCTGTAACTGTGTTGAGAGCCCAGCTGTGCTCCCCGATTCCCTCCCTCAATGTGACGCCATAGCATAAATGCAGGGCAGCGCGGCAGCAACCACATGTCTTTGAGTCAGTTGGGAGACTGCCCAGCTGAACTGTGTCATGTCACCCAGGTGATGGTTTGAGTGTGGATCATGGAGGTATAAAGGGTGGAGACGGCATCAGCCTGACAGATTGAAGCCAGCGACCTGACTGGCGGCCATCTTGCTGTAGGCTGCTTGTCACGGATTTATGTCTGGATGGATATAATATTACAGGTTGTACCTCTCTAGTCCGGCATTCTGTGGTCCGGAAACTCCCGTGGTCCGGAACGATTTTAGTTTGTCCAATAGGTAGATAGGCAGCTTTTTTTTTTTCTTATCTGAATTATTATTATTATTACAGGAGTATTAAATTTTTGCCCCTCAGGCCCCAATGTGGGTCAGTGACCTATGCCCGGGTGGGCTAATCCCCTTAAAAAAAAAAGCCGCGGGAAATTAAGGTTTGTTTACATCCGGCAGTTCGGCTGCTCTCTCTCTCTCTGCTTGTCTATACAGAGTACAACATTTAACCCTTCAATATATATGAGCAGTAAATAAGTGTTGCTTTCATATTCTTATGTAGAGTAATGACGATAAATTTTCACATGTGCGCACTTACATACAAGCAGTCTCACTTTTTTTTTTTACCATTAATGGTTAGCTACTTATATTGTTCCATTTATTAACATTAAATAACATTACAGGTACTTCAAGCAACCATATTCATTTTTTTACATTAATTTTACTACAGCTAAACTCAGGGTCTTATTTTCTTCAGTTTTATATGTAGAACCAATCAGTCACTGGTTTCGTAAGCTTTAACACAAACAATGCCGGCAGCCGTCTCGTCTCCTCGAATATTCCACGTATTATTAATAAATTGTATTGTTAATTTTGCACACACGTACATTAATTCAATAAAAACAAATTCAGAAACACTAATTAAAATATATATGAACAGTAAATAAGTGTTGCTTTCATATTCTTATGTAAAGTAATGACGATATGTTTTCACGTGTGCGCATGCGCACTTACATATGCGATCTCTTTTTCCTTTACCATTATCGTTAGCTACTTCTATTGTTCCATTTATTAACATTAAATAACATTACTTAAAACAACCATATTAATTTTACTACAGCTACAACCAAGGTCTTATTTTCTTCAGTTTTATATGTAGAACCAGTCAGTCACTGGTTTTGTAATCAACGAAAACAATGCTGTGTCATTTCCTCATGTGTTTTAATTTTCTACGTATTATTAATGAATTGTATTGCTCATTTTGCACACATAAACATTAATTCAATAAAAAAGACATTCAGTAATAAACAATAATGAATCTTTTGTACATAAGAGAAATGACGCTGTTTACACGATTATGCACGTCGTCTGCACGTTGGCGGGCCGTTCAAACCCGTCGAAATTCAAGTTTCCGCCGTCAAAATTTTTATTTATTTATTTTTTTGTGTGTTCCAATAAAATACGTTAAGAATTAAAAACTCGCGAAATTTGAGAAGCTACTATACGACATTTAACCCTTCAATATGTCTTCAAAGAGACCATGACGCAGAGAAAGTGGTGCTAGTGCTTCCAGGCATAAGCACAAGTCACTAACTATCCAGGAAAAGGGTGAATTTCCATGGTCCGGCAATTTCCATGGTCCGGCACCGGTCAGGTCCCGAGGTTGCCGGACTAGAGAGGTACAACCTGTATGTGTTTCTTAATTTCTTACCATAGAGTTAGATACCTTCACACTGGTTACTTACATACCCACTAATGAAATAGTGATGACGGAGTCACGACTCGCCTGGAGTCTTATCTCCCGTAAAACAAACATTGGAGTTGGGTTACGTTGGTAGGCCCAACGCAACCCATGACACTGCCGCTCTCAGGTCAGGTTAAGCTTGATCTCCTCACTTTCAACCTGCTCAGTACTAACTCAGCAGTGAGTGTTAGAGGTTGTGACTGCGGTATCTACCCAGCAGTGATCGGGTATTCTGCAATGCCTACCCGTTGTATTGCATTTGGGTGCAATGAAAGAAGTCTGATCCGTCTATTGCATTTCACCATCAAGTAAAATTTTAATTTTGTTTTTAGTTTGCTTTCCAGAACGAATGTGCTTGATCGTAAACAGGAAGGTCTTTCTTATATACACACATGGGATGAAAGAGGAGTAATATTACATCTCGATATTAATTTTTTTCACAGGCTGCCAAAGGACCTCTGCAGAAGGCAAAAATGGGTTTTGGCTCTACGAAGAGACAAGTACACACCAGGCAAACAAACACGTTTCTGTTCTAAGCATTTTGCCCCTGAAAATTTGCACAGGGTAAATGCTGTTCCTAGTATATTTGAGGCTTTCCCTGCTCAACTACAGAAAAAGACAAATAATAAAAAGCCTCCCAAAACTCGAACTGTTTGCGAGCCTTTTCCATCTGAAGCTGCAGCAGAAAATCACCTAGAAGCTAATTTTACAAATTCTCCATCGAAAGTGATGAAGAGGAAATTAGAGGAAAAACTTGTGAAGTCTAGGAAAAAAACACAAATTTTGCAACAGAAAACACGACGCATGAAAAATAAAAATGCTGACTTGTGTTCTGTGATTAGTGTATTAAAAGAAAAAACCTAGTGAGTGAAGACAGTCTGACTATTTTAGAATCCTATGCTGGTGGAGTGACTGACCTTGTGAAAAGACAGATTGCTAAGAATAGCGGTAAGCCAGTACATGCTCAATATGCCTCTGCTTTGAGAAGTTTGCTTTCACTTTAAACTTTTACTCTCCACAAGCATATAAATTCATAAGAAAAACTTTTGATGCTTGTCTGCCGCATCCACGAACGCTGGAAAAATGGTACAATACAGTAGAAGTGAAACCCGGATTTACCGAGGCAGCATTCAGTGCACTCAAGCAGAGGGTCAAGAAATCCACAGACGAAAGTTCTGGTAATATTTTTTCTTTGGCGATGGATGAAATGGCTATTCGTCAACATGTTAAATGGTATGGCAAAAAATATCACGGGTTTATCGACATGGGGAGTGAACTTGATGATGATTGCTTGCCTGTAGCTAAAGAAGCTCTCACTTTTATGGTAGTGTCACACAAGCCTACTTTTAAGTTATCCATTGGATATTTTTTGATTAATGAACTTCGCGGTAATGAACGCAGTAATTTAGTTTTGCAGGTTTTAAACAAACTTCATTCAGTTGGAGTGAATATTGTATCTCTAACTTTTGATGGTGCAGCTCCTAATTTAGCTATGATGAAAAATCTTGGTTGCAGCTTGAATCTTGAAAATATTAAGTTATATTTTGATCATCCTGCTACAGGAGAGCCAGTGTGCATTTTTCTTGATCCTTGTCATATGTTCAAGTTGTTAAGAAATGCTCTTGACGATGTAGGTAATATTTTTGACGCAGAAGGTAATACAATTGAGTGGCGATTCATTGTCAGTCTCCACCAGTTACAGGAAAAAGAAGGTCCGCATCTCGGAAACAAGTTAAGAGCTTCACACATTGAATATGTAAAAAGCAAAATGAATGTAAATTGATCGTTCAGTTACTTAATGACTCTGTTGCCGACTCCCTCCAGTTTTGTTTGGATGAGAAGATACCCGTTGCCAAGGAACGATAAAATTCATACGTACACTCAATGCACTGTTTGACATCATGAATTCTTGGAATTTGTGTAGTTACGGCTGGAAGCGCCCTTTGCAAGCAGGTAATAATTCAGAGGTAATGAAGTTCATTGAAAGTGTACAACAGTATCTGGTTTCCTTAACATTACTGCCCTGATAAGTTGCCTATTGTTCAATTCAGAAGAAAAACAGGATTTATTGGATTCCTTGTTTGTTGCAAAAGTCTGCAAAAATTAGCAAAATGCTAATTGTTACTTCAAAACCACTTTTGGATTACTTCTTAACTTACAAGATGAGTCAGGATCATATAAAACTATTTTTTGGCAAAATTAGAAGTTTGGGGGTGCAACAACAATCCTACGGCTCGGCAATACTCGTGGAAATTGCTTAGCTTTACAATCTATCCCAGTCCTAGCCGCCTCTAGTAATTATCTAAGGAACCATAATGCCAATGCTCCATTGAACAATTTAATTAACTCCTCTCTTGATAAAAGCAGGGTCTTTGAGCAAGATAACATTTATCAAAATGAGGAATCTGATGTGCTCTCAGAAGAGGGAAATGCTAACTTAGTTTCATCAAGTGTGGTCTCTCCTTGTACAGTGGTCCCTCGGTTAATGAGCACAATTCGTTCCAGAAGGTTGCTCATTGACCGAAAAATTTGTTAACCGAAACCATTGTTTCAATGGGTTTTTGGGTAATTGGTTCCAGCTCACCGAAGATTGCCTAAAGTCAACAAAAAAGGTAGTAAAGTACACTTACTTTGAGGTGTGTATGTAGAAGGCTCCTGGATGATGATGATGGGAATTAGAATGGGGGTGGAGGAGAAGGGAAAAG